CTTCATCATCCAGATCATCATCCAGATTTCCACTGTTACCATCCAGCAGGTTTCCACCAGTGGTATCATGATCAATGTCATCATCATCTGGATCTCTTTGGCCCAGAGGGGCTAGGGCTGGAGTCCATGTAGGGGTCTCCAGATGTTGACGACTCAGAAGCTCTGAGATGCTTCCAGCAGTAGCACGCTGGCTAACACAATGCTGCAAGAAGCTATTGAAGGTTTTGACAATAGGAGTGGAATCACAGCGGGTGGATACTAATCCAGCCGCTCAGAGAGTGTTTGCAGTTTTCATTGGAGCCATAGGAAGTGTAAGTATACTTGGTAAGGTGTGAGTTCAAATATACTGTTAAGGTTGTACTCAAGGGATAACTGGATCCAAAGGGCTTCGGCCTCAGCTCATGCGCTGTGCCCCTTACCCGAGTATTGCCCCTTATTTCAGGAAGGCAAGACTAACACATCCAGAAGGTTGGATGAGTATCATAACAGATCCAGATGACTTCTGGATGTGGGATAGGTATCGTAGGGCTAATCCGGACGAGTCCAGACTAGAAACTAACAGTAATAGACTGTCAGAGACAGAGGCAGATATGGATAGACTATAGGAATCAATCCTAAGTCTCGGAGGGTGACAAGAGTAGAGATGCTCAAGTCCAGAGGATGGGAATGAGTAGAACTAAGATGATATTCAAACTGAGGTACTACAGAAAGTTACAGGAGGTTATATACTATAGGTATCTAATGGAATGATCAATCAGCAGAGTCTGAGGCTATGTACAAAGCATGTGGATAGTCTATTGGTAAGTAGAAACGGATTACAAATCATGAAATGGAAATGAAACATACAGTGGCTCAAAAAACTGTCTGCATGTTTTGACATTTTTCACTATCTATGATATTGTGTGAGAACAAACAAATGCCTCAAGGACATGCTTATGCCACATTGTAGTATGGCTTCAGGGCTTTCATTTGAGCCCTACACCGTGGGAATCGGTGGAGATATGGTGGAGACATAAGGCTTATAAAATAATGACTCATGTGGACAGTTTTTTGAGTGTATATTAAAACTATATAAATCATTATTTATGACACCACAAAAATCATGCCACTATTATATAAATTATGAAGTGGTGTCATTATGTTATTTTATGACTATATCTAACTATATAAACCAGAATATCTCATGTATCATAGTCATAATCACCATGAAAGCCATCTCCTCTGCTCAAAGAGATAATATCCTCTCTCTGTCTTATGCTGGCCTCTCTGCTCGCCAAATTTCCTCTAGAACTGGAGTATGCAAGTCCACTGTGGCCAAGTTTATCAAAGAAAGCCACCCAGACAAGGAAAACTCTTGTGGAGGATGTCCATCCAAGCTTACCTCTACTGCCAAAAGGGCTATTATCCAACATATCACTACAGGAAAGGCTGATAATGCTGTCCAAGCCACCCATTATATCAATTCCACCATCACTACCCCTGTCTCTTTACAAACTGTGAGGAATGTTCTCAAGGCAGCTCATCTCAAGGCAGTAACAAAGAAGAAAAAGCCTCTTCTCTCCATCAAACATAGGCAGAGAAGACTAGCCTTTGCCTTAGCTCATCAACACTGGACTGTAGAGGACTGGAAGCATGTTATATGGTCAGATGAGACCAAAATCAATAGATTGGGTCAGATGGGAAGGTATATGTATGGAAAAAGAAGGGAGATGGCCTAACAGACAGAAAGGTTAATGGGACTGTCAAGTTTGGAGGAGGTTCTTTAATGGTATGGGGCTGTATGGGATGGAATGGTGTGGGAATGCTTGCTGAGGTTGAGGGGAAGATGAATGCTGAGCAGTATGTGGACATTTTAAATGACCACTTGCTGCCTAGCTTGGACAGAATCAGGGATTGATAAAGAAGATATCATTTTCCAACAGGATAATGATCCCAAGCACATATCCAGAAGAGCTAAGGAATGGTTTGAAGAACATAACATCAATGTTCTTGACTGGCCAGCACAGTCTCCTGATGTCAATGTCATTGAACATCTCTGGGGAACACTCAAGAAAAAGCTTCAAGCCTATGAAAACCCCCTAAAGGAGTATGGGAGCTTTGGGAGAGAGTAGCAGTGGAATTGGGGAAGATCACAGCTGAGGATTGCCAGAAATTAATTGAGAGTATGCCTAGAAGGATAGAGGCAGTAATTAAAGCCAAGGGAGGTCATACAAAATACTAGAATACCTGGTTATTATTGTAAAATACTTGAGTCAAAAAACTGTCTGCATGAGTCACCATTTTGTGAGCCTTGTATCTCCACCATATCTCCACCGATTCCAACGGTGTAGGGCTCAAATGAAAGCCCTGAAGCCATACTACAATGTGGTATAAGCATGTCCTTGAGGCATTTGTTCATTCTCACACAATATCATAGATAGTGAAAAATGTCAAAACATGTGGACAGTTTTTTGAGCCACTGTAACACAAAAGCTCCGGCTAAGTTGATCACATAGATTGGTTTAGTGAGCCTCCCAAGAACTCACGCGTTATCTACCATGAAAGAAGAAAAGTTGTAGACCGTGTTAATCGAGGACTGGCAAGAAGTCTTATCCTAGTGTAATTGTGGTGTCATTACATTTTACATGCATTTATATAAGACCCTTGGTTATTAAGACACCGCCAAACCTTTCTTGCCTGTTGGGCTTTTCTTTTCCAGCACCTTTGCTGGTGCCATGAGCTATAAGGTTAGTATCTAGTATCTGTTTTTTAGGTGATTTAGTGGTTTTCTGGATGGAGCTGGGTCAGTTGGTGACACTGTTGGGCAGCATTGACACCGTTGAGCATGGTGTTCTGGTGTGGTGTCTGGGGTCTTGATCTGGGGTGCCACTTAGTGTGAGACTAAGAATAAGAAGCAATAACCTTCTGCTTATCAGTGTCATGGAGGGAGATGTTGGCAAGAGTGGATCTTAAGCATGCCCTGTAAAACTGTTGGTACAACATAGTGTAACAATCAATCAAAAATGTACTGTTGATCTTTGAGATCCATGCCTGAAGTAATCAGCCCACTTGGAGAGATATTGGTGTGAAGTGAAACATTGATACCAGCTTGAAGTTCCTGGGTCTCAAGTTCAATGAGTTGTAGCCATACAGCTGCCTGTGTGACTGCTGTAGGGATTTCATATTCTGTGGGCTTGTATAGGCGGATATTGCTTAGTGTTATGTTCGCACTTTTGGTGCTTATGTAATCATCATAGTTTTCACCACCTACCAGCACCAGTCTGAGACTGAGAGTTATTAGTATGATTTCCTATCCTCTCTGAGCACTGAGCTTAGTTGTTAAGAACCATGTTGCTCAAGGGGGAGAGAGACTGACTCAGAGGGGCTTGGCCTCAGCTTGTATGCTGTGCCCCTTACCCAAGTATGTGCCCTTCATTTTGTATGAGGTCCGATGATGGTCCGACAAAGTCTGGAGGACTTCCGAAGGCTGGCTACTCTGCTGGAGAGTGCTAGAGGACTTCCGGAGGAGTACAGGAAACGTCCAGGGGAGAGTTCCGGAAGAATACAGGAAGTGCTCAGGAGAGTCCCCACTGCAAGGTAATACTTCTACAGGAAACAGGGTGGAAGGATAGGAGGTCCAAAGGTCCAGAGGACAGGAGGACAGGAGGACAGGAGGACAGGAGGACAGGAGGGCAGGATGATAGAGGACAGGAGGACAGAAGGACAGGATGTCTGGAGGTACAAAGGGCAGAATGTCTGAAGGACAGGATGCCTGGAGGTATGGGGGACAGGAGGTCCAGAGGTCCAGAAGGAATAGGGGCTACATCAGACTCCGTCCAATGTAGAAACAAACAGAGGTAGACTACCCTAAGGTAGAGTTGGAGAGACAGGGATTGGACCTAAGTCTGGAAAGAGGGTAAGTGCTGGAAAGGTGGAGCTCTGGCCTAGGGAATCAATCCCTAGGCCTGATGGGTAGGACAGACTTAGGTGGACCAAAGTCTGAGAGAGGATTAGGCAAGTCTAAGTTGATATTCAAACTAAGGAAATTACAGGAGAATCTACAGGGGTTATATACTGGAGAATATCTGAGGGGATCAGTAAGCAAAGGAGCAGGGCTATGTACAAGCATGTGGAAACACATTAGTAAGTAAGTCAGAACATAAATAAATGAACTCGGAGATGAGGACTCATACAAGGATCAATAAGCAAGACAGAACAAGAGGTAACCAAAAGCTGGAAAGGCAGAGATGCCTAAATGGGGATAGGTGCAGGATCTTAGACAGAGGGTGGGAATAGGTCCAGCATTAATATCCAGAGGTCCAGAGATCTGAGGATCCAGAAGACAAGGTGGATACAGGACTGGAATATGAGAAGGTGGATATAGTCCAGAATCCAAGATGAGGTGAAGTTCAGATGTCTTGCTGGATGGAGTGTGCATAGGGTGGATGGGACAGGGGGTATGGATCAGGCTAGCAGTGGAGATCTGATGGTCCAGAGCTCAGGGGTAAATCCAGAGCATAGTTGATCCTGCTGAGGTGTGGAGCACAGTGGAAGGGGATCTGGGAATGAGCTGGATATGAAGTGGGGTCCAGATGTAGGCTCAGAAGGCATGGGAATACAATGGAATGTGGGTCTGGATTGTGGGATATGACATTAGTCTAGAAACCCTTTAGGGTTGAATAGCAGCTAGGCTTAGCACATTTAGCCCAACATTAGAAGTCTACTTTCCAGTTCTCTTCTTGTTGTGTTTCCCACACCACTACCAATTATTAGCACAACTATTGTGAAAACGCCAAGACCACTTATGATTGAAGCAGCTTTTGAAGGGATTGGGAGAAGTATTATCCTCCTCCCAGGATTCTATCTCTGCTTTCCATTGAGTGATGAGAGTTGGATGGATAGTCATCTCCAGCTCTGCAAGGGCTTCAGAGTGCTCCTTTGCCCACTTTATGGCCTCAACCATCTTCTTATGTAGAGTCTGCCCTAGGTCTACATCAGAATTTGAGATTGAAAGAAAGAAACTATGCACCTAATGCTGTTATTTTTTTCCAGTTCCAATCACTGAAGTGATCATCCAGAGTGTCCCTCCATGTTCCAGGCCCCATTTCTTTGGTGCTTGATGCCACTCGATTGATGTTGGACCAACCCTGTTCAGGAGCTTCACTGTCTGTTCAGCCCACATATCTCAACCAGTTGAAAGAGAAGTTGGTGTGGCACTTATAGACATGGGCTTGAATGTGAAATTTCGGCACAAAAAAACATATAAGTGAGGATTCATGGGGAGGGCAAAGGTATTCTGGCATTGTTTCCATCCAAGTCCAGAGTCTCTTGTGCCACTGACACACAATGTCATAAGAGATGTTGATCATGGACATTGTGAAGATGAAGAGTGCCAAACACACAATATAGTCCATGTTGATGTACCTAAGCAACATTAGCTGCAAGAAATTTGAAATACAATATACCACATACTGTTCCCCCTTCTGAAGGTCTCCCACACCATTAGGAAGCTTCATGTCATGTCTGGCGCAGTCGATGGTCCCAATGCCTGTGGCAGCAAGCCCACAAGAGGACTTGATATCCACCATATTGACCACATTGTGGCTTATGCATGTGCTTCACTGCTGAAAAAATTAATTAATTCAACAATTGTTACAAGAAGTTGTATTACTTGCCTCTTGCTTTTTGGTAGCATGGTCTGCAATGTAAGACTTATATCTGTGCTCCTCCACAAAGTATGCCCATCCAGCATTGAGGCTAGGGTCAGCAGCATCAGAAGACACCACCTTCTGCTTGAGCCTGAAGTTTGTGTCAATTGCCATAAACAACGCATATTTCCATCTGCTCAGATAATGTGAGCTTAGCAAACAGAAAATCAGAGAACTCACTTGATAGATAGAGGCTCCTGCTCCCAGTCTGGCAGAAGATTCTTGCCAGGTTGCAGGCATGCAGGGCAAAGTACAGCCAATTCCCCTTTGGCTGTAGTGTTAACTCCAGCAAGGTTGTGTGCCCTCCCTCCATGGCCAAGTTGTTTAAGGTTGTGCCATTGGTGTACCATCCTCATGAAAGTAGAATACTGATCCTAGAATATAATCATCAGATAGTTCAAGGATGCCAACTCTGATGCAGACACTACCATGAATTCCCTTGTCTTCTGTGTCTTCTAGGAGCATGTACATGTGAGTACTGTCATGGTGTAGGGACAATTTGGTTGAGGATCTCTGTCATGGTATTTATTGAACATTTGGTGTTTTGAAGTATATTTAAGGTGACATTTATGCAAACAAACCTTGTTGTATCACTACTGGAAGTCAGTGAACAGCCCAACCACACTTGCACTGAGTGAATTATCCGGAACATCTAGCAACCAACACCACAGTCCTTCACGTCCAGTACTGAAATACAATGAGATGGTATGGATTGCCCAAACAGCTGATTCTTCTGCCTCAAGCACTTTTGCAGTGACTTGCCCGACTTACTTGAGTTCCTGAGTCAAGATCAGATGAGAAAGGGGCATGTTGACATCAACTAGCTTCGCTTTGCCTGGAAAAGTCTGGGAAAAAACATTACAACCTTGGCATCAGCTGATGTGATGGAACTATCAAACAAAGGTATGTAAGTTGGTTTTAAATTAATGAAGTCACATGTGCACCACCAATATGATGTGCTGATTGTAACATGAATAGATGGCACTGTGTACATGGCTCACAGAGGAACAGCTAGCCTTCAATGCAACTTTTGAGGAGGAGTACCTCAAGTGCCAAAAAAAAGGGAACTACAGTACCTTTTGGCAGCCTTTCTTTGAGAAATGGGAAGAAAGATGGCCTGTGAGGGCTTCCATGTTTCCAGATATTCCCCCAGTTCAAAGTCTAACTGCAACTCAATTAGAGGAAGAAGACCAATTCAAAACTGCACTTCAGAAGGTTTGCAATTTATTATTTTGCATGTGCATTGTTGGAGACTCACTATTGCATCCAGCGCTTGATGGTCGAATTCTGTAACAATTACAGAAATTCAAAGCCTGGCCACAAGGCTGTGGCAGCAGGTAATTCAGCTGTCAACAAACTACTAACCAATATCATTACAGGACCCACCACCAGTCAGAAACAACCTCTTAAGGAAAGTGAGGTCTATACAAAAATGTACTATGCATCTTGAGTCCAACCCAGTGTCAAAGACGAGCTTAATGCTATCAAATCACAAGCTGAGGCCCCCAATGACAGGAAGACAAATATTCAGGTTGTTCGGAAGCACATCGAGCAGTGTTGGAATAATGAGTCTGTTGAGGTGAAGCAGGAAATTTCTCGACTTATGAGAGAGATGAGGGAAGCAGGATGTGAGGTAGTGAAGCAGCAAGAATCATCCAAGGTGGCCAATGTTAATGACCTGTAAGCATTCTTCTATTTGCTTCTTGCTACTTTGCTAATTGAACATAGAATTATACTGAGACTCACCGAAATTCCCTCAACTTTCTTTGGAGAGCTTCATGAGGCCACAGGTTGGACTTTCAGCGTCCTGCTTGGTGGTCCTGACCCATCAAATGGAGGTGCAATTGATGTCAGTAGCTTGCATGTAGGGTCAATGAAGCTCAGTAATTACTTTAATCACACATTTGTGAAGTTTAACAATAATGTCATGGTACTGTACTATGACTTTGTTTCTCATGTTTTCCGTATGTATTCATTATATTTTCTCAAACATTGCACTAATGATGTTTAGCTGAAGTGGGGACTTCAGATCAAACAGTCGCCAACAATGTTCTCAGTTCTCCCACTCTAGATGATATTCCCACCATTAATGATTCTCCAACTACTACAACCACAGCAGCTGATACATCACATGGTTCACACACCACATCCCTACAGCCAGACTTGGCATCTATCATGCCTTCCTTGGAGCTTGGACAAGAAAAGGTAATTAGTGCATTACCTGCTGAAAATTTCTTCCAAAACATGCCCCCTGCTCCTCAAGACAATGAGATCAATCAAGAGTTGAATATGCCCATTCTGCCCATGCCAGAGGGCTACATACCCTTCCATCTGCCACCCCCACTCTCTCTGGATGCTATGTCTACCTCTGAATCTTTTGATCTCAAGAGTTTCAACAATGCTCTCAAATCCATGCAGTCCCAGGACATCATCACAGGAATGATTTCTTCCCCTCCCCACATTCATCATCAGTTCAATAATTTCTTTAGATTTTCTTCACCAACAGCGACTGCCTCTACCACATCCACCATCGCCCATCTACCTGCAGCTCCATCTACCACTCCCTCTACCACTCCTTCCATGCCTGCTGCAACTTGTTCACCTGCTTTCGCAATTTCCACCACCCCAGCTGTTACACCTTGCACCATGCCTGCCATCAGCCATTCCACTACACCTGCTACAGCACCCTCACCAGCTGCACCCACAACTCCTGTGACACCAGGAATGAGGCCTTCTCCTGTGGTTGATGAACCTCCAGCAAAGCATCAGAAAAAGGCTCAATACACACATCCAGGAGAGACAGATCCGCCACAGCCTGTGGGCCAAGGAAAATGGCAATGATTCCAATCCACTTGAGCTGCTGCTGCCAATGCGATTGGTTAAATCTTCTTGAATTATAATAGTAATGCCTTCGAGATTACATGTGTATATAGCATAAATTTTGAAATTTAATTGTCTTGAGCAAAAACAGACCAAGGCTGGCCTGGGTGACCTCAGTGAAGTTTGCATCTGCACTTGCTGAAATCAGATGAACTCAATTGCAAAATTTTTCCATCCATGACATGTTTTGCAAAATCTGCATTCATTCAATAGTACAAAGTAAATATATATCTTGTACCATCGTGGAAGAACAACTCTATTGCATGGTGCCGCAGGTGCCAAATCTGATTGTGGCATCATTGTTGTTAACATGTGCTTCTAGTTCATCTTCAATATCAGTGTCCCATCAGCCAGTACAAGTGCAAAAATTCAAATGGCAAGACTCTGGGTAGACATATACTTGCCAGAGGCTTGTCCTTCATATTGAGATTAAAATCAACAAGTATCATCATTGATAAATGAAAAACATACTTCAAGGATGGGCACCAAGGACTCAGCAAGCATCACCTGTGTCACACTCTAACATTGATGGATGTTCTCCAAGACACCCGCAAAGTGCCAAAGGATAGACATACACTTGCCAGACGCTCATCCTTCACATTGAGATTACAATCAATAAGTATCATCATAGATAAACAAATATGAAACATACCTTGAGGATGAGGGGCACCAAGGACTCAGTAAACATCACATGTTGTCATGCTCTAATGTTGATGGAGATTCTCCAAGCCACCTGCAAAGTGCCAAAGGACTGTACATCAGTAGATGAGTGTGAATTGTTGTTGATGGACAGTCTCCAAGCCACCTGCAAACTGCCAAAGAACTATACATATGTTCATCTGAGTAAAAATACTGCATGGCAGTGCATAGGCTAAATAAAACCCTGCATAAAAATATATTGACCAACTAAAGTTGGATGACACAGAAAGAACCAACCACTAGCAGCTGACAAATCTAAGAAACCAAGGAACCATTGGCTGACAAATAAAAAGAACAGAGGAACAATCAAAAGAACCCAGAGAACCAGGAACTGGCTGCATGCAAGCATCTTTTTTGGATTCACCAGTGATACATCAGTGATACATCAGCTGCTACTGCCTGTAAGACTCACTGCATGGTTCAGCAACTATTGTATCACATTTTTGTTATCACTATAAGCTATGTAATGTATTAATATCACAGTATAGCCTGACGGGTTTAGGTCTGGGGACAGGCTTAGCATTTTTATGCACAGCAGGCACTGGCCTAGGAAGAATGGCTGTGGGTATAGTGGGTGGGATGTCCATGGGTGGCTGTTTTGCTGGGGAGGGTGGGAATGATTCCAAGTCAGATAGTGGTGTCAAGGCCCATGGTGGTGATGATGTGGAAGGTGTAGCCTGTGAAGGGAGCCTGGGTGGAGTTAGTACTGGTGCATGTGATGATGGGTGTTCTGCCACTGGTCCTGAGGGCAGAGAAGTAACAGTACTGCACACAACATTGTTTGTTGCCAATGTCAACATACTACCTTGTTTATGAGCAGCACATTTCACTTGCATTTTCACAAGGTCAGAATTGGTGTCATCTGAGGCGGTCATCATGGCCTTGACTGCATGTTTTTCAAAAACCTGTCTGTAATTCTTGTTAGTAGATATTTATGAGGAACTAGACACATACTTGTTGATCCACACTAGTGTGTGTGTCTACTGCCCATGGGTCCTCAGGGTTGTCGAGTGTTTCAATGATAGCAAAAAAGAATTTTTCTAGATTGAATGACCCAATGCACATTTTGTATGAGTTACAGGCAGAGAGGGAAAACCACACCTGTATGAAAATCAGTATACTACCAGTCAATAAAATAAAAGTAAACACACCGCACACATGGCCCAGGCCCATGCTTGTGGTGTCACCTTTGTAAGTCCATACATGATAGCCTTGGACTTGCTTCTGCCATGCTTGCTGTCATCATCGTTGTGTTCCTGTGATCCTGCAGCAGTGGGTCCTAGGTACAAGTGCTGGAATGCCTAGGAAAACTGTGAGCACACAAACAGCAACAATGCACTACATACCCTGATACCAGCATGCCTGTGAAAGAGGCCAATGTTCAGGTCTTCACTATCATAGGTGGCCTCAGCAGTATATAGGAAGGATGGCCAATTTGTAGAGAGTAGAGGCTAAGTCCCATCCTGAAGACACTCCATCCCTTTGAAGGTAGAGTATGTGAATTATGCAAATGTTGAGTTTAGAGTCAAAACACTCACAAGTTGGCATCTTCATCAAACACCTCTAGCCACTTTCGAGGGCAAAGTTCTCGCACTAGCCGGGGGTGATTCAGACCATGATTTGACTTGCAAGAAGACTTTGGGATGGGAGGCTGGAGCATGTTGGTGCTATGGTCAGCAAGAATATACTCAAGCACTGAGTGCTTCAGGGATGAGAGATCATCTGAGCATTGTGAGCTCATTGAACTGTCAATCTACATGTTTGTAGTTATTTAGGTGCATATATGCACATACATGCATGGACTCACCACTGTGAGATAAGGTTTCAGCTCATCATAGGACAGCTCATTGAGATTTTCATGGAAGCCAGGAATAAAGTCTAGAATGCCATTATAGAACATGAGAAATCATGCCTGTTGCTCCCCAGACCTGGCAAACAAATCAGTTTAAGTTCCAAGGTGTAAGGTGACTTACATATTTGAACTGGATGTTGAACCACCCTTGTCAAGGGTCATACCATAATGAAATGCAAGCGACACATTTGCAAATGGATTTAAGGTGGCAACTGCCTTGCACCCAGTGGTGCGATATTCTGATAACACATCGCTCAACCTCAAGTTGCATGATAGGTGTAGGGTGAGCCCATGACCATGCTTGAATACTATGAAACTTACCTGGTCTTCTTCCATCTGCCAGTGGCAGTCGTATTATTGAGGATATCATCTGTTGAAGCGTGTTTTTTGGAGCTGGAGGTTGACAACGACATGTTAGAGTTTGATGAAGATGTGCATTTCTCAGATCTGGAGGTTGACAACAATGCATTAGAATCTGATACAGATGTGTGTTTTTTGGAGTTGTATGTTGACAATGACATGTCAGAGTCAGATGAAGACATGGTAGGGTGAGGTAAAGGGCTCAGGGGAAAATTAGGGGATTATTATCACACATGTTGGAATTCAAAAATATTGATGGCTGGAGTTTCAAGATCATCAGACAACTGTGACAAGCAGATACACTTTGAATATAGTAGTACACGACAATAATCAGCAAAAGAGCATTGTAAAATAGTGGTACAGTGCAAGAAGAAAGAGGTACTCAGGCAACAGCAAATGATAGTTGAGACAAACGACTGCAAAAGGTATTCTGTTATGAGCAACTGTGTGAAAAAGGAGCAAAAGTGATGGTGCAAAATCATAATTTACAACACTTGGATGGATAGTCCTTGATATCTTCATGCAGTGCCTTCCTTTTAGCGGCCTGCAATGGAATGTTTGACCAATCAAATGGCCATACCAAGTAGTGCCATGGTGCAAATGGGTCAGTTGGTCTTGCATTTGTATTGCCACAGCATTGAGTGAGTAGGTTGCATGGAGACATGTTCCTTTGAAAATCTGTTAGTCAGAATCTGAGTACAGCCTTGGTAATTAGATGGAAGGTTGCATACACAGAATTTATGGAACCCTCATCATCTTCCTTGAACTTTACACAAGTCTCAACTAAGTCAGGTTCTGTCTTGATGTTGTTAGCCTCAAGTGTGCTCAACACCTTATTAGTGCTAGCTTCAAAGTGAATAATTAGTGCACTGTATTGAACGAATGAACTCACATATGGCCAGAGTCAGATGAGCCCTCTTGAATGGCCTTTCCAATATCTTTGAACCAGAAAATCACTTGCTGAATAGACAAAATCATGATGGGTTTAGTAGTAATTGTAAATAAAATGATTATTTCATACCTTGGAGCCAGGAGTGACTATATTTAGGCCAAGACAATAGGTATCTGACATAGAGGCAACACCATCAATCTCAATGAGTATGTTGTCCTTGAACATGTTGATGGTAGACATTAAAGGCATTGAGGATAATAAATAGTAGTGTAAGAGTACAATTAATGGTGTTGGTATAAGAGATAAGCAAAGATTGATGTGTTGAAGGTTCAACAGCTCTGCTATGCTTGCAGAGCAAAAGAAAGAAAGAGGTCTCTCACTCTGGTGAGAGAGAAATGCCACTGACTCTCTAAGTGTTGGTTGAGGTGCGCCAGGCAATATGTTCAACCCTTAAGGGAAGCAAGGAAAGCAAGATCCACTGGGTGACACCAGGTCAACTCTGGTGAAGCGCGCTGAAGGTGCATGCATGGGAATATGGAGTGTGTAGGAGCACGAAGCATGGGAATTATGTGCAAGTTGTGCATGAACATGTAAGAACTAGTGAATGAGGTCATGATGGTGTGAACTGAGAACTGCTGGGTGGAGACTGATGATAGTAGACTGATGCTGAGGACTAGGGCGACGACTGATGCATACTGGCTGAAGATGATAGATTCTCACTCTAGAGACTAACTAACATGATGATGGTTGGTGTTTCATGAAAACTTTCTAGGCAACAGGTAAGCTGTGCCTAGGCACACTCCCAGGGCTTGGAAGCGAATAGGGAGGGCTCTATGTATGTAAATGAGGTAAAGAAAGAGTCCATGATGAAATAATGTATGGTATGATGCTAAATATGGTCTGATAGCAAGAATAAATGAGAAGGGACTCACTAGGGAACTGGTTGGACAGTGGATAGATGCTCTGGGACACTGCGTGACAATAGGTGACTGAGTGCAGGAAGAGCGCGCTAAGCGCATGCACAGGAATGTGTCACATAGTGCAGGAAAGCGTCACACCTCTGGCATGTTTTGTGGGAAAGTCATGGAGGGTGAGTCGTACACTGTACCAATTGTCATGAGTCGTAATATGGGCAATCTAAGCCTAGAGCAATCTCATTCTCTACAGCATTATTGAGACATTGTGTATTTCAGAAAGTGCCAACTGACTTTGAAAGTCACGTGACTTTTGAAATGGACAGTTCAAACTTTTCACTTCAATCTTCAGTTGGTACCATCAATATAGGGCGTATCTACCCTACATAGATTGTCACATGAATATCATTGTTTCTTGTGTTGAGCTGACACCCATGTAACTTGACCCTTATTGCAAATATCATCTCCATCATGAGGTTCAGCACTCACTCTGTATTCATCTTTCAAGAGTTCAATTACCAAATCTACCTATTTATCTATGGTGGCACAGTGATGATTCTACACCCAAGACTCTTCAAATCTGGTTATCAATGAACTACAAAAGATACTGACTATAGGTAAATAGTGAAAACCTCTTCACATCCAGTTATTGATGAACTACCAGAGATAGAGTATATATGTTGAGCATCGCCCTCCCATTCAAGTGAGTTGCTCTACAATTGCACTCTACAACACATTTCATGATCCTCCTTTAGCTCACAAGGGCAGTTACTTTCTTCAAACATAGTCTATTGGCTTCAGTCATGATTCACAGAGGCTTGGTCAAGCATGTCAGCCAGAGGGAGAGAATGGCAATATTGGACCTATAGCAGGAGCAAAGGACACACCACCATATGGCACACAGCACTGCCAGGATGCTCTTTGGGAGTGTAGAGTTTTGCAAGCAGGTTTCTTGGATCAGGTGGCAGGTATAAAATGTGTCCTTTGTTCCAACCCCTCATCTCACCATTACATGCTCACAGTGATTCAGGTGGATACACTGAAGGAATCAACTACTAAGCTATGGCACTACAAGGGATACCAAGTCAGAGTATATGTGTGGTTGTCTCTGCTCTGCCTAGGCTGCTATACTTTGCAAAGGCAAGTGTGTTTGACCCAAGGGGAAGTGAGTGCAACACATCCACAGGTCATGCGTGTGGAGGCAAAGGTGCACACAGAGAGTGGTAGGATGTGCAAAGCATGGGAAAGTCACGCACTAATAGGCAAAAGTGTGCAAAGGGCTAGGAATGCAATGGGGACTAGGGGAAGATGATGACTGATACTGATGGGTGTGAGAATGACAAATGCAATGATGATAGAGTGTGATTGCCAAAATGCTACTGACTATGGCTCAAAAAAGCATGCACTATGCTGAGGGATGCTAAGGGATACTAACTCCCAACTAAGTGGTAGCTAACTCCCTGATAAAAATGTGAATGCTATCATGCAAAAGGTGAATAAGCGTGTTCCCATGATGCGGAGCTGACGTGAGTAAGGTGTGGGAATGAAGAAGGTATATGTAAGTAAGGGTCCATGATGGAATATGGTGTCATGATAAGAATAAATGCAAAAAACATACCAGTAGGACTTGCTGGACAATGGATGGATGCTCCTGGATGATGGGTAATGAAGCGCAGGAATGCGTCATGGGAGAGTAGCGCACGCATTGCGCGATGCGTGGGAAGATCGCGCATGTATAGGCTGAGTGAAGGAATGATATAGGGAATGATGCTGTGAGTTCATGCTGTGAACTGTATGCAGATACATTGCAATATAGGGCTCTACAGGCATACAGAGGCACAAGTCTCTACAACACACTGGCAATGCCAGCAAAGTACATCATCCTCTCACTCCTCAGCTTCATCCTTGTTATGTCATTTGCATGTCCTGCATGCAATTATACTGCTGTGTCAGCATGTGGTCTGTCAACACACCAGAACCAATGGTGCAAAGGCCTCAGAGCTGTTTCAAATAATGTCATGGATGCCTGCCATGAGTGCCAAGCTCCGCAGCCTCCTCCTGCACTGCATGTTCAGTCAGAAGCTCCCTTACTTGATGAGCCCTCACTGGAAAGACAAACCAGCCAGAGTTTGAGAATCCCGAGCCATATGTAAGTGAATGTTTCTTTTGTCAGAGTGATACAGGATATTCATGCTGCTATCTAGGAATTGCCAGTACATCATTCACCCTTGCCCCCACCACTGGCACAAGCATCAGGTCTTCTGAATTGCAGGTGGCAACTACCTTCATGTTACTGAGATGAACTTCCAGCCCTTCCCATCCCTGTTCCAATGTAGATAACACAACTTGGCTAGATAGTTGTTAGAATACCTAGCCAATATATGTCTACTAGACCTGCCTAGCTGCTACACTTGCAAGCAAGAACATTCGACCTGAGGGATCTGCTGTCTAGTCAAGTTCAATAATCAGTACTATGCAAAGGGTCAAAAGTCTGAAGGTCTGAGATCAAGCCTGAAGGTATGGGATGAAGTCCGATGTGCAGGAAATCAGGTATGCAGGTGCAGAGATGCAGAGATGGCAGGAGAGTAAGGGAAGGGAAGGAAAAGCATCAGGACTAGCTTGGAGATGTTGGGGAGGGTCAAGTGAATGAGTGACACTCGTATCAGGTCAAGGAGAGCAGGTAAACAGGTATATTGGCAAGGGTAACTCTAAGGACAGGTATGGGGTGACCAGTATTGGGGATTTCTCCCTCCTACTAAGTGGTGATTGTAATTCTGGTCGCCCAACCCTATATAACTAGCTACATGAAAATCCAGAGTCCATAGGTGAAAGCAGTGGCAAAAACGCAGGTCCAATGATATGTAGGTAAAAGACCATGAGGTACTGCAGCCAGTGGGAATCCATGTAATAACGCTGCCTACTCAATCAGTAATGGGAAATAACTGACTATGCACCAGTGGGGTTAAGCAGGACTGGACTGGACATGGTAGGACGAGTGTGTGGGATCTCCAAGCAGGTCTGATGCATCAGAGATGTGGAGATGGTGGGAAAATGTCAGAGATGGGTAGGAGATGTGCAGACTGGCTGGGGATTGCAGAATGGGATCCTAGCAGGCCAGCCTGAACATGATCGTCACACCGATTCCACCTCCAGAAGATGATGTAGCCCATGATGTTCCACAATCTCCTGTTCATTCTGACTCAGGGTACTGCCAAATCAGAAGGAGAAGTGTGGGTACACACTGAACAGGATACTTTTGGCACCTTCTGTTCATACCAAGGAACTTTCCCTTCCTATGACCCCGAGAACACTTCATTGTTCAATGATGTATGTGACTCTCATACTTTCCAACAGGCCAACAGTTCAAACAAGCGGCCCTGGTATGCAGGCTTTGGTACTGCTATTGAAGCAGTCAATCACACATTTTTTGCACCTTTTCTCAATGCTACTACATTTCATCTCATGAACTGGTTTTACAAGTCATCCAGCAGGTAACTCTCTGGCTAACATTGACTGCCTTGTGCAGGGGGTCATATTGGCAGATGACTTTGAGTGTGAGGACCTCAGGGGTTTTCTACATTTCGGGAGGCAAAAAGAATGGACCAGGCTGATGAGGACCCAGATTCAAAGCTGTTTAGCACCTCTGACAAGTGGCATGAGGCATCTGTCAATATCAAGCTGCCTGCTGAGAAGCACAGGTATGCATCTAAAGCTGACACACCTGACTGTGCCATGGACAGACTCTATTACCGGAAGCCCCTAGAGGTTATCAGGTTGGCCTACAAGGAAGTCACTTCAAAATCTTTTCATGATGTCCCATACAAACTCTTCTGGCAGCCCAATGAGGGTGAATTTCCAGAACATATCATTATGGAGGTCTACATGGCCAATGCTATGCTCAATGAGCATGAGAAGATAAATGCACAGCCCCATGAGCCTGGTTGTCAGCTGGAGACCATTGTCACTTCAATCATGCTTTGGTCAGACTCAACGCACCTTGCTTCATTTGGACATGCTGCGCTATGGCCAATCTACATGTTCATCAGAAATCAGTCAAAGTATACCAGGAATTGTCCCTCTGCATTCACTGCCCATCACCTGGCATATATCCCAAAGGTTTGCATATGTTTCATGATTGAGTTTGCAAAGTTTGCTGACTTGCCTTTGAGTTACTGGACATTGTCCATGAATATTACCATAAATTGTATGGGCAAGCAGCAACAAGCGCAGTGCTCACACATCTCAAGCAAGAGCTTATGCAAGCCATTTGGCTGTTTCTCCTTGATGAAGAATTCATGCATGTGTATGAACATGGTATAGTTGTCCAATTTGCGGACAACATATATTGTAGAGTATTTCCATGTTTTTTTACCTATGCAGTGGATTACCTGGAAAAGTAAGTATCTATGACTCTCCTTCTGTAAAACAGCTCATTCAAATTTCAGGATTCTCCTCACATATATCAAGTTCCTCGGTAAATTTCCATGTCCCTGATGCCTCATCCCAAAGGACAAGATTGATCAGATGGGATCAAAACTGGATAGACTGCGACACACATGAGATACATGCATGGATAACCATGCTTGCTGGAGCATGATTGAAATGGTCCAAGATTGGATTTTCACAAAGGGCTGTAACATTGTGAGCTCAGTGATCAACAAGGTACTTGGACCAACTTCTCTTGTTCCAACACATGTAAGTTCTACTATTCATTGTGCAATAAAAGTCCCTTATGCCTCCTTTGAAGAATGCTTTCTCAGAGCACTTGTCCCACTTCAGGTTTGACTTTCACTCAATGTTTGTACCCAATTTTATGCATGAATTCGAACTGGGAGTCTGGAAGGGTACTCTTACACATTTGCTGCATATCATGCATGCTTTTGGTGGGGATGTGATTCAACAATTTGATGCAAGGTGAGGTTTGAGTTTGTTTTATTGCTTTCTGGACTAACTGACTCAAATATATTGCAATGTTCCAACTTTTGGCAGGGATATGATACACAAATTCAATCACAACATTTCAAACCTCACAAAACTTGCTGCAAGAGACTTGAAGGATATCTTACAGGTGTACATGTTTTGAAGTCTGACGCCTTGTCTGATGTGACGCAGTGTGCTATCCCTGTATTCGAAGGGCTACTGCCTAAGGAGCATGACAAGGTCATATTGGATCTACTTTTCAAACTAGCAACATGGCATGCCCTAGGAAAACTCAGACTTCATACCTGAAACCACACTGCATTTCCTTGACAACTCAACCACTAGACTTGGGTGAGCTTTATGTTGGTTTAAAGACATTACATGTGATGCCTTCATTACTCAGGAGCTGCCAAAGGAAGTGGCTGCATGTGGGCATCGCAAACCTGCATACTTGAAGAAGGGCAAATCAAAAGCACTGCCAAAGAAGACATCTTTGGATGGCCCTCACACATGCCTTTTCAACATGTTGACATATAAACTTCATGCACTTGGGGATTATGTCAAGTCCATTTGATTATTTGGAATGACAGACAACTTCTCTACACAAGTGGTGAGCTTGCTCCAGTGATTTATGTTATTGTGTCTTAAAGCAAACATCAGGGTGAATTGGAACACCATCGAGTCAAGCAATTTTATGCATGTACCAATAAAATCAAGTTCACATGAGGTATTGCAAAGCAACAGTGCCATGAACAACTTCTATACAAACTTCGACAAAAAGCTCAGGGTGCTGCACAACAGGCTAGTGAGCACCTGGACACTAGGGATACAGATTCACATCCAACAGTTGATTTCTCTGAACAAGAAGTATTACTGCAGTGTTCCCCAGAGTCCCAGTACCAAATTTTGAATTCATGTCACCTCCACTGGGACATTACAGCTTGGCTCCATAAGAACCATGAGGACCTTGCAGTCAAGGCATGTTCTCACCTGTTCTCACTTATTTTTTCTAATTTTTGTGACTTAGGACTTTTTACCGCACCTCAAAGATCATATTCTTACTTGGCTGCTTGGTCAAGATGATGACAGCGAGCAAGCATTCACACCTGCACAGCATAATTCACTTATTATTGTCAACAACAAGATATACAGGCACAAGGTGCTTTGCATCAATTATACAACATATGACCTTCATCAGGCCCAGGACTCACTCAACCCCTGTGCACATGCAGATATCATGGTCCTTGCGAATGAGGAGAGCCAGCCTGGTGAGCTTGCACCACATCCCTACTGGTATGCACATATTGTGGGGATTTTTCACATCTATGTGAGATATCTTGGTGCTCAGTCTCGCAGTCAAACATCACAGCGCATTGATTTTCTTTGGGTGTGTTGGTTTTGCCAAGATTCAAACCATAACTCTGGTTGGGCAGCATGAAGCTGCATTGGATTGGCTTCTTTGATGCACATGAAGTAGGTGCAGAAGCATTTGGGTTCATTGACCCACAGCATGTCATACGGGCCGTCCACCTAATCCCAGCATACAACAATCATTACACATACTCTCTGCTTCCTCCATCAATCACCCAACAGCCATGTGACCTCAATGTGGACTTTAGTTGGTATTATGTCAATCAGTGCATATTTTTCCTTAAAACACACTCTTGTGCTCACCACAATTTAGATTCATTGATCATGATATGTTTATGCGGTTCTGTGGTGTTAGGACACAAGACCACATGAGAGGTGACACAAAGTTTCTACAAGGACTGAGATGCACTTGACTCAGTGCCATTCATGAAGGAAAGCAAACACACCAGTATGTTTTACATACCAGGTTTGCCAATGAATAAGGACATCAACTCAGAGTCTGGTGATGATTGTGGAGATACACTGGCAGGTGCAGACATGCACAGCATCAGCAATTCCAGTGAGGAGCATATGGATTGTACAGGAAGCCAGTCTGAGTCGGATGATGAGCTTGAAGAAGCAGAGAACAAGTCACAGAGTGCTACTTATGAGTTCAACACAGATTTGATTGATGGAGACGAGGAATTGGACAAAGAGGCTGATGATGACAAGGATGGTTCAGTGTTGGATGACAAGCATAGTGAGTTTGGTTATGGTGACCTAGAGGAGCAGTTGTTATTGGATGACAGCTCAGAAGAGGAAGGCTCGCAGGATGAACTAGATGATGCCATTCTTGGTGCTGAGGACGGAGAGGGTGCTGCAGATACTGAAGAGGATTATGGTGACTATGCTGAGTACTGGAATGCATTGGACAGACCTGTCTTTCAGCCATGTAAGAGAAAAACATATTGTATTACTTGTCTCGATGGTTTTTGTATCTATACATGTGCGAGTGACACAGTTATAACAGTACTTTGGCATCTGCAAGCCTTGCAATGCCTGGCATGACACCTGTAAGGCCTGTAGCCGCATTTGGAACTCTACCCCAGACTTGCGGCATCTGCCGAGGCCTTGTCAGCTTGCGCCACTTTTGCTGATGTGCTATATCGACAGCATCGCATCGTTCCCACTGTTGAAGACGGTCTTGCGGCTAACAAGTTCTATATTTCATCTGGGTCCATCACCGAAATCCAAATTTGGAATGTCACTACTCCTGTTGAGGGTATGACGAGCCTCAGCTGGAACACACGACCCCAACGAATTGCACTGATGGGCACTGTCGCGTTCCTTCCAGAGAAAGAGAAGATTGAGCAGCTAGGACTCGAAGACGGCTGGCAATCGCAACTTGCAACACGGTTCTCGTGTGGTAAGGAAGCGAGTGTTGTGACCGTCGAGGTTGCCTGTGATAGTTGTAGAATTGAGTTCAAGCAATTATTCTCAGTTCCTCCGTTGGGTGAGTGCGGCCGTGTCACGCGTTCGAATTGGCAGACTGATCTCATGGTGCATAGCTTTCGATCTGATGGAGATAGGATAAGTAGCGGGTATCAGTGACAATACAACTGATGGCATTGCATCCATACGAGTGGCAGTGGATTTAGCGAAGGTATGGGTTTCAAACTCCACCAAATGTTTTCTTCGTACTGGGGAACAAGCCCGAGTCTTTCGATCACATTGTGATGAACTGAAGTTATCAAGCTCGCCTCTCATTGCGTTGCAGCTACAGCCAAACATTATTGAAAATCGTCGTCAAAAATCTACCGTATGAAGTCCAAGTGCACGAAGCTTGAGGCCAACAAAGAACCTGGGATCGACAAAGTATGCACCATATTCTATGGGTTTGTCTAAGAGGAGGAAATAGTGGTGCACAAAGTGAATCACTTTCGTGAGTGTGGACGTGGAAAGGTATACGCACGACCTGGAATTCCACAATGATTGTGGTGATAAGTTTGCCGCCTCAGGTGTTTATGTACCTAGAGGCACTGAATTCACTGGCTTGTTTGGTATCGAATGATGGGCGGGAGAGGAACTCGTAGAATGCTTGGAGAATGAACGGAGGTTCTTTGTTGGCCGAAACACCATTGATGTTGGGGGAACTTGGGGAGCAGGTATGGTTGGGGGAATGGAGGGCAAAGTTGACCGCTTCTGCCTTGGGCATGCCCTCGGCTTTTGCTTCGTCATAGATTTCCGATGGGTATCGGATAGGTAGACGTTGAGTTAACGTTGACACCGTGTAGCGAAGGGTACATCCTTGAGCTTGAGTTGTGGTGCGGTATCCTGTCGATGTAGGACTCTACCAATACCATGGGTTTTTAAGTCCGGCTCCATCGCGAGCTCGAATGCGTGTACCGACCAAGTACTGACTGAACTCCAGCTCCGTATTATAGAACACAGTATAGTTTGATTCTCGCAAGATTCAGTGATACCCTATTTGCGCGATGCGCATGCAGTTCGAAAATCGAGCTAAGCTCAAGCAGCAAGCTATGGCTGAGGTCCTTTGACAAATCTGAGTAGACCAAGCCATCAGTTGCAGCAAATATATGATCGATATTTTCTCGACCAACTCCAAGGTCACTCAAAGGCCACTGTTAAGTCCTGCGTGCATATATCACTCACTGGCATCTCTGCGATCAGCATGGAGTTTTCATAGTCTCGACAGGTCTCAACTCTCAAGGCAGACAACAAAGGTAGTCGTTCCTCCCCGCTTTAAATTTCCAAGAGGCGCCCAGTAAATACAGCAGCAAATATTGCCTCCAGGCTTGCGCGCGGCGGCCAAAGGTGTGACCTGTTATCTAAACGCTGTAGCAGGACCCACCATTTCCTCTAACTAGTACTTAACCCACCCTACTTCGCTTCTGATCCTCCCAGTCAACATCCACTATTTCAAACGATGAGTGAACGCAATCAATCAAGGAACCCAAGGCAAAATCTTCCTCCTGAAAACTACGTATCCAGTGAAGCAACCGCTGGTGGAAGTTCGGTATGTTTCTGATGAGGGCCACTTCTCATCTCACTCGAAACATTAACTCTGATGCATCCTTCATCCAGGGCAGAGGCCGTGGCAGGATTCGTCGGTTTCTAGGGAAGGTCAAGAATGCGACCAAAAAGATTTCTGTGAGTCAACAAGGATCCTGGATTTCCTGGAGCAAGGCTCACGTGAATCATGATCGTACAGAAGCACTCGAAGGATTCCCGCAGCTGCGAGCCTGTTCTCCCGAATGTTGATCGTGAAGGTGCCTCATCGATTCCGAATACCAAGGTAGGTCACCTTTTAGTTTCTGCTCTCTCTTTCTCTAGATTCTAGTCATCGCGCAGGTTGAGGATGCTCCCTCTGCTGTGGAAAAAAATCAAGGCACCGACCCCCAATTGGCACTTCAGAACGCCGAAGAGGCTGCAAAACTCATGAAGTCACTTTCGGGACATGCGACATCTGGAGCATCCACTGCCCAAAATGCATCAGCAGACCTTGAGGCTGCATATAATTTCCAGGATACATATCTCCAACCACTCAGGATATTCGACAGCATTATCGGGACACTTGCGGAGGTATGGACCATATCTCTAGATCGGAACCGAACTAATCCTGTTCCATAGGTACATCCATACGCAAGGATGGCACTGAGCGTGTTGTCTTGGGCCGCAAAAGTATGTTTTGTTTTACTCTCATTCATGTCTTTTTCTCAGTTGTTATGCGTGCAGGTAATTCTCGCTCAAGCGGACCGCGATACAGCGATACTCAGCCTTCTCCTGAAGTTGGGTGACGTTTACGGCTTCATCACAGAAGACAAGAGGCTTCACCAAATTTCGTCGATGCACACTATCCTTGGACAGATTTCCGAGCAGACCCTTGAATGTGCCCATTTTATCAGAGATTATTCGGAGACCAAGAACTTTTGTGAGTTTTGCAGCTCACTGCGCTTTTCACAGTCTCGATGTTCTACTATTATCGTAGGGAGTAGAGCCGGAAAGAACATAGGCCGGGAAACGGATGATGCAATTCGAGGGTACGGCGGAATGTTGGATAAGCTCATGGACAACTTCCAGAAGCAAGTTACTCGCGATGTAGCCATCTACGTCCATCGTACAGGTAAGGGTTTGTACGTGCTTCTGACTCGACATCCATTCATACCTCTCCAGGCGAAACACTAGATCTCAGCGGTATGACGTATGCGGATGGCGCAGGACGAAATACTGGGAAACAATGCCTACCAGGGACACGCACGGAAATCATCTCTGAAATCACCGACTGGGTCAACAGCACCGGAGACGATGTTCAGCGTGTGCTCTGGCTATCTGGCCCTGCGGGGAAGGGCAAGTCGGCCATTGCCCACACGATTGCCAACTGGTTCAATGATGTGGGAGGGCTCGGTTCATGCTACTGCTTCGATCACCAGCGAGATGCCGACCATCGTCATGAAAAGATTTTTTCCACCATCGCGTGCGACTTGGCCGACCGTGACCCAGAGATGAGACGAGTACTGGCAGAGACAGTCAAGGGTGCGACTTCGCTGAAGACTACAGCAGATATCGTCCAACAGTGGGACGAACTTCTCATGAAACCACTTGGGAAGCTGTCAGGGTCGATTGTAAGACCTGTGGTTGTCGTGATAGACGCACTGGACGAGAGCGGTGGAGTCGAGACACGGCGCCGCCTTCTCCGCCTTCTTGCGGGTAAACTAGGTGCTCATCGGATCACCGAACTTCCAGCCAACTTCCGGATCATCGTCACTTCTCGCCCGCTTCGCGACATCGAAGCTGAGTTTTCAGGTGCTCAGCATGTCCGACAGATGTCCATGGACGAGATTTCACCAGCCACCGCAGAGCGCGACATCCGCACTTACGTATCAAAGGAGCTGGAAGGGCTCCTACACTTTGGGGACAAAGAATTCACAACCCTGGCTAAGAAAGCTGATGGACTTTTTGAGTGGGCGCGTCTCGCCTGCAGATACATCACAGAGCCTATTCTTGGATCATCACCAATCGCTTGCTTCGACACTGTTGTGTCACGCGATCCTGCCGAGAGAAGCATGCTGTTGTATGAGATGTATCGCCTCATCTTGACACAGATCATGCCCAAGGATACGTCGACGAGTTTCCAGCGTTCGCAGAAACTGCGTTCACTTGCGAGCTTTCACTCAGTGATGGGTCAAATACTGGGCACAGCTGAACCCATCCCTTTGGTTTCCCTGAACGCCATGAGACGCCACTTTCCAGACAAATGTGACCACTACGATGTGGAGGTTGTAGTAAAAGGCCTGGGATCCCTCCTCGGCGGCACCACCAACTCGTCTACCCCAATCCGACCCCTCCATGCATCCTTCCGCGATTTCCTTACAGACCGTGAATGCAGTGGAGAGTTCTTCGTCGACGTGTCGAAGGTACAATGCGACCTTGCTTTCGCATCACTTCGAGTGATGGAACATAGACTTTCCTTCAATATGTGCGATCTAAAATCATCGTATCTTCCTAATTCAGAAGATCCTGGGCTGCGAAAACGAGTTGAAACATGCATCCCCCCACACCTATCTTATGCCTGCCGATTTTGGGCTGTCCACGTGCAAACAACTCACTTCGATCCAGAACTTGCCAAAGAAATCAAATCATTCTTCGAGCATGAGCGACTGTTGTTCTGGCTCGAGGTACTCGGCCTTATGAACACACTCAGCGACGCCGTCCCCACCCTTCCGATTATTGCCAAGTGGTTGAAGGTGAGCACACGGTTATTGAGCGTTAGATAACATACACACTAACATGCAATCACAATTGCAGGGTCACACCGGATACGAAGATGCCTCATCTGTTGCAATGGACGTGCAAAGATTCATCCAAGTCTTCGGCGGCATCATCTTGCACAGCACACCGCATCTCTATGTATCAGCACTGCCATTCTCGCCTGTCAATTGTGTACCATCCAAAACATTTTCCGCACGATTTCCTAACTCTCTTCGTGTGGCATCTGGACGTGATATCAACTGGACGGCTGTTCAGACTGTGATCAGTGGGCACATTAATCCTGTTTCCTCAGTCTCGCTCTCGCCGGATGGGACTCGCATTGTAACTGGATCATGGGATCGCACTGTGCGGCTGTGGGATGCAGCAACGGGGCAGCCAGTAGGCGAGCCCTTCCTGGGGCATACTTCTCCAGTCTATTCAGTTTCATTCTCACCGGATGGGACACGCATCGTATCTGGCTCGGCCGATAAGACTGTCCGGTTGTGGGATGTAGCAACGTGCCAGCCCATTGATGAACCCTTATTGGGGCATTCTGATTCGGTTGAATCAGTCGCTTTTTCGCCCAACGGATCTCGCATCGTGACAGGTTCGCAGGACAGAACAGTCCGGCTGTGGGATGCAGCATCGCAGCAGCCAATTGGTGAACCCTTATGGGGGCACACTGAAAAGGTTAACTCAGTGTCGTTCTCACCAGATGAGACTCTCGTCGTTTCTGGTTCATATGACAAGACTGTCCGACTGTGGGAAGTAGCAACAGGACAGCCGGCCAGTGAGCCCTTGGAAGGGCACACTGGTGGGGTCACA